AGAGTCATGTCCTCTTCACAACTTATTTTCCTACCTGTCTTTGCATCATCAGTGAATCTGGCAACAATTCTTTCCGCTCTTCATTTAAATAAATTATGTAAACTGTTGGGGTCTCAACACCGATCCCTGTGTCACCCGACTCATTTCCTCTTGCCAACCTGAAAAAGCTTGCTGTGTTCAATGTGAAAAAGACCCACTTAGGACTACCAGTAGACAGCTGTACACCTATCTTTCAACATGGTTTGCCAACTTTCTTCAAACTCTGCAGCAAGAGCAGTTGCTTTATCATTAAGTGGAAGATTCGAGCGCAAGGACTATAAAAGGAAATGCAACAACTACAGCAGCCCATATTTCCAACTGTTGTTGGTAAAAAAAAATTGTCCTAAGGCATTTACATTTTAAAAAGTGAAACTGCATTCAAATTGGAGACCTGGGTAAAATTTCTGTGGAAGATCTCTCAATCTTTGCCATAATTTCAGCACCATTTCTGAGATTCCTACTGAAGGTATTGCAGTGGAAGACTGAAAGGACTCCAAAAATATCCAAGCAGTGCCAATTACTGCTCTCAAGATATTTTTTAAAAACTCTTTTCAACACTAACACACCTTGGACATAGTTCTGAAAGTGTATGCCTAGATTTAAATAATTTATTTTTGACATTGTTAATTAAAACCCAAATCACCAAATAATGCAGAGTAAAGTGGATCAATTATCTTTAAGTCATTTTTATTTGCTTTTGTTTATCAATATTGTTTAAAACATCTAATTCATTTTGACATGCTCCTGAAAATACCTAATACCAATTTAAAAAGAAAGCACGTTTTTAATCAAAATTTGGTGCAAAGTGCATTTTCTAGTAACCTGTTCTTAAGAGACAAGGCTATATAATTATACAATAATATTACTTCAAAAATGCTTAACAACATATTGTTGGATTTTTCAAACTTTGATTCCTGTAACCCAAATGGTCTGTGAGGAAATCACAAGAGGCTGTGAGATCAACAACTTTTTACATTTGCAAAACTGTGTCTGTTCTCTAACCATATATCGATAGGCAAACATTTTCTGAACATCTATTACCGTTTTCTCATGTTAGCTGTCATGATTATTTGAAAGCTCAGACAAGAATTCTCCAGACAGGATCATTAAAACCACTGATATGTATGTAATGCAGCAGTAATAAATCCCAGTAACACTACTATAATGGTGTTTGATGTAACATAAATACTGAAAATGCTGGAGAAACTCAGGTCCGACAGCATCTGTGGAGACAGAAACAGAGTTAAGGTTTCAAATTCAGTACGACTCTTTCAGAACTGAAGTTCCTGAGTTGACCGAGTTAATTTCATTGACTAATTATTGATTCATCAATTTTCCAGCAGACTAAGATTATGAAATTCTGATGACCTTACAGTTTTGGACTTGTTTCAGAACAATTTAAACTTTAACAGGCGGTTTAGTATTTTACCAAAGAAGAAAGGCAACTGAATAGCCTTGCAGCAACTTCAAGGTTTTATCTCTTTCTTTTTCACTCCCAGCTTGTTCCCCACAGCCCCAAAAATTCTCTTCAGGTGCTTATCCAATTCCCTTTTGAAATTCACAACTGAGTGTGCCCCTACCACAGCCCAGCAGTGCATTCCACATTCTATGCATTTGCAGTACAAGAAATATTTATTCATTTTACCTCTGGTGCTTCTGCCAATCACCCTAAATCTGCCCCTTTGGTTTTCCACTCTTCTACCAAATGGGGACAATTTCTGTTTACTCAGTCTGGATATTTCTTGATTTTGAACACTTTCATCAAGTGTCTTCTCAACCTTCTCTTTTCCAACTTCACCAATCCATGTAAAAGGAGCCACATCTTTACCTATTCGACCAACCGGTCATAAATCTCTACACAGTTCACAATGCTTCCTATTTTTGTTGTCTACAAATTTTGAAATACAAACAAGTTTTGGTAATTAATATAGATCAAAAAAGCAGTACTGACAACTGGGGTATCCCAATATAATCCTCCTCCAGTCCATTTACCACAACTGGTTCTTGTCACTGAGCCAACTTTGTATTCAATGTTGCCAGCGTGTTTTTTATTCCAAGGGTTTCAGCTTCACTGGCACTTTGACAAAATCCTCTAGGAAGTCCATGTACGTCACATCAATCAAATTACTCTCAATAATTCTCTATGCTAACTCAAAAAAATGCAAGTTAATTTTTCTTTCATTCACAAAATGTGGGCATCACTGGGTAGATCAGCATTTACTGCCATCCTTCATGTCCTTGAAAAGGCAGTGGTGGGCTGCCTTCTCTAACCACTGAATTCCATGAAATGCAGGTAAATCTATAGTGATGAAGGGGAGGTTGTTGCACAACTTTGACCAATGACAATGAAGGAACAATGATATAGTTTCAAGTCAAGATGGTTCGTGGCTTGGAGAGAAACTTGAAGGAGCCTTGGTGAGTTACTGCAGTGCATCAGTGCCACTGTATTTCAATGTTGGAGGGAATGAATGTTGTAGATGGAGTGCCAATCAAGTGGGCTGTTATGTCTTGGATGATGTTGAGCTACACTCATGAGTATTCAACCACACTCCCAACTTGTGCCTCATACCTGGTACCAGTTTTGATGAATCAGAAGGTAAGTTCTTGCTGCAGAATTCCCTGCCTCTAACCTGCATTTGTAACCGCAGTATTTATATGGCTGGTCCTGTTGAGATTCTGGTCAAAGGTATCCTTCAATGTATTGATAGTAAAGGATTCAACTAGGGTAATGGCACTGAATGCCAAGGGGTGATGGCAGGATTCTCTCGTTGGAGATTGGCTGTTCTTCAACATTTCTGTGGCTTGCACATTACTAAACAGCCCAGCCTGAATGCTGTCCAGATCTTGCTGCATTTAGACAACGACTGGTCCAGTATGAGGCAGTTATGAATGGTGCTGACCATTGTGCAATCATCAGCAAACGTCCTCACCTCTGACCTTATGATGAAGTGAATGTCAATGATGAAGTAGCTGAAGATGTTTGGGCATAGGACAAGATCCAGAGGAACTTGGGAAGGGCTCTTGAGGCACAATGGTAGAGCCCCAACCTCTGAGCCAGTAGGCCTGGATTCAAGACCCACCAGCTCCAGAGGTTCCTCACGTACCACCCCACCAACCTCCGGATCCAACGCATCATCCTCCTGCCATCTGCAATCCGACCCCACCACCAAAGATATTTTTCCCTCCCCACCCTTATCTGCTTTCCGGAGGGACCACTCTCTCCGTGACTCCCTTGTCCGCTCCACACTCCCCTCCAGCCCCACCACACCCGGCACTTTTCCCTGCAACCGCAGGAAGTGCTACACCTGCCCCTACACCTCCCCCCCTCACTCCCATCCCAGGCCCCAAGACAACTTTCCACATCAAGCAGATGTTCACCTGCACATCTGCTAACGTGCTATACTGCATCCGCTGTTCCCGTTGTGACCTCCTCTACATCGGGGAAACCAAGCGGAAGCTTGGGGACCGCTTTGCAGAACACCTACGCTCGGTTCGCAATAAACAACTGCACCTCCCAGTCGCAAACCATTTCAACTCCCCCTCCCATTCCTCAGACGACATGTCCATCCTGGGCCTCCTGCAGTGCCACAACGATGCCACCCGAAGGTTGCAGGAACAGCAACTCATATTGCGCTTGGGAACCCTGCAGCCCAATGGTATCAATGTGGACTTCACAAGCTTCAAAATCTCCCCTCCCCCTACCACATCCCAAAACCAGCCCAGCTTGTCCCCGCCTCCCTAACCTGTCCTTCCTCCCACCTATCCCCTCCTCAAACCTCAAGCCCCACCCCCAGCTCCTACCTACTAACCTCATCCCGCCCCCTTGACCTGTCCGTCCTCCCTGGACTGACCTTTCTCCTCCCGAACTCCCCACCTACACTCACCTTTACTGGCTCCATCCCCGCCTCTTTGTCCTGTCTGTCTCCTCTCCACCTATCTTCTCCTCTATCCATCTTCTATCCGCCTCCCCCTCTCTCCCTATTTATTTCAGAACCCCCTTCCCCTCCCCCATTTCTGAAGAAGGGTCTAGGCCCGAAACGTCAGCCTCTCTGCTCCTCTGATGCTGCTTGGCCTGTTGTGTTCATCCAGCTCTACCCCTTGTTATCTCAAGCATTATTTAAACGCTGCTTTGTCGACAGTAAATGAAAGGTAAACGCAAGAAAAGCCCATTACTAAAGACTAAATATAACATAAAATATAATACAATGAGGAAGGGTCCCGACCCGAAACGTCGACTTTCCGATTGCTCTGATGCTGTGTTCCTCCAGCTCCACACTGTTGTGTCTAATACAATGTTAATACACAATATGTCACAAGTCACTGCGCATGGCGACACTAAATACAACGTTTTTAAGAGAAAAGATATGAAAGACCAGTAGCAATAGAATCCATTAAATTGTCGGCCTACTATACATATCCAAACCGTTCAATAATTGCTTTTGTTTTCCCAGAGAAGGAAATCTGCCGCCCTCACACAGCAGCCTGTATGTGGTGCCAGTCCCTCACCAACGTAGCTGACCTCTGAAATGAACATCACACTTGGACCCATCCCCGACGCCACTCTCCCAAGATAACCGGGGATGGGTAATAAATGCAGGCGTGAAATCAAAAAGACAGGGGTAGCGGGGAGAGAATAAAGGGAAGACGCCGTTGGCGACGGCCATCACCTCCTCCAGATGAAGTTGCGATGCTCGCTGGGAGGCCAGGTGCAGGAAGCAGTCCTTGATGTTGCTGAGTCTGAGTTGCACGCACACAGCACCGACAGCCAACATCCTGCCTCGCGCCGCTTACACCGTTAGCCGCAGGATTCCACAGATTCGAATTCAGACCGCATTCTCCAGTTCGAGCACCCGTCAATTTCCGTTTCCGAAAATGATCTACCGGCGCAAGGTCCTTCGATTGACGTCTGACCGGCCTATCACATCCCGAGCTCAACTGGGGGCCCAGAGGAGGCGGGACTCCATCCGAGGCCAGTGCCGAACGATCTAGTCATCGAGCGATCGGTGCTCGATTGCGATCGTCTTTTCTTCGGTTAAAGATGGCTGCTCAGGTTCCTGAGGTGTTCAAACACCATCGGCAGGAAAACGTCTGCTTCACACGACCCAAATACCGAGAGGGTCGGAGGCTGAGGGCTGTCAAAGTAAGTGCTGCTTCGGATGTAGTTTAAGGTTTGTAGAACAACCCGATCCTGTCCTGTAGCTCATTGATTGGGAGGAATGCATAAGTCTATCGTTGAATGCAATGTTATTCTCAATGAGGATACAACATGGCTGTCTGTCGGAAAGATGCGGATATTTTGGGGTTTTCTTGGATCTTGAGAAAACGTTTATCGTTTTCTTGTCGACATTGAGCGTGATCCAGATTTCCACTTTATGGTGGAAAATATTTAATAACTTACTGCTAAATTACCTAATTTCAATGGCAAAATATTGCGCTGGATTACCTCACCAGAAAGAATTCTGTCCTTCCTCAATTCTTTTCTTTATAATTATAAACAGTTCGGTTATCATCTAAACGTTAGCGGGTATAAACAGGTTATTTAATTTAACCCTGTAAACTCTAGAATATTTATGATTCTTGGCTAGAGATTCACTCTGTCGAACTGAAGTATAATTATTCTCGCAGTTCGCTTGAACGGCATTCTAATTTAAACATTGACTCCCTCCACCACAGTGACAGTATTACATACAAGATACATTACAGATGCATTCAGGTAACTTCACCCAGGTTATTTCAATAACACCTTACAAACCCATGAGTTCTACCACCTAGAAGGACAAGAGCAGCAGTTACGTGGGAAACCACCATCTATAACTTCTCCAAGCCGCACATTATGCTGACTGGGGTCCGTATGTTGGTTCCTTTACTGTTGCTATCAAAATCCTAGAACTGATTTCCTAACACTACTGCTGAAATAATTAAACCACGAGGACTGCAGCAATTTGAGAAGATAGTTCAGCATCAGTTTTTTTTCAAGGGCAGTTAGGAACGGGCAACAAATTCCTAGCCAGCAATGTTCACATGTAATGGCATATTTTAAAATTCTGCATTTTAGAATCGAATGATGGCTTCCAATTTCACCACCATTTTTCTGCCATACAGCTGATTTTGCAGACCTCCTATATTTTTCTTTGTCTTGGAAATACCGCAGTCAGTATGGCTATACATTGGATGACAATGTCATCCCTTCAAAGACCTTTAGGACTTCACTCACCCAACAGACCTGTCTCTGAACCTGAACAACAATTTGTCAATGCTGTACAGTAACATAACATTCAAGAGCAGGAGAAGTCTATCTGGCCCTTCAAAGCTGTTGTGTAATTAGTAAAATCATGGCTGATCTGATTATGGTCTCAACTTTATTATTCTGTTTGCAAACCATAACCCTTGATTCCCTTGTTTGTCAATATTCTATTCAACTCAGCCTTGGATAAGTTCAGTGAGCCATCCTCCACTGCTTTGTGGAGAAGATAATTCGTGATCTCCTTATGTTAGGAATAGAGCATAATGATGAACACGCAGAATTAAAAACAATTTATTGAATCCATATAACAATTGTAAAATAGTTGAATTAAATGCACAAATTGAGGTAAACGGATTTAAATACCATTACGGAGGTGTGGTTACAGAGTGACCAAGATTGGAAATTGAACATTTGGGATTTAAGAGGGATAGGCAAAAAGGACAAGGAGATGAGATAGCACTCTTAATAAAAGACAGGATCAGTAGACTAGTGAGAGGGAATCTTGGATAAAAGGATGAAGATGTAGAATCAGTTTGGGTAGGGTAAAAAACAGTAAGGGGCAGCACACTTTTTTTCAAGTTGTTTATAGATCACTAAACTGTACAGGTAATATTGGGCACAGTACAAATCAGGACATTACAGTTGCGTGTAATTGTGGGTAATAAAGTAATAATGGATAATTTCAGTTAACACAGAAGCTGTGTTAATCAAATCAGTACTAATGCTATGGAGGATTCCTGGAGTGTGAATGAGATGGATTTCTGGAGCAGTTATATTGAGGAGCCAACTAGAGAGCAGCCCTTGGTGTTTGTTTCCCAAACAAGGGTCTTGGGAAGTCAGAAATTAAAATAAATTTAGTATTGATAGTATTTAAAAAGTTAACTTGATTTAAGATTGATGAATTTATGAGCTTCATCCCAAAGTATTGAAGGATCATTAAACATCAGAGCAGAATTCGGCCTTTTGGCCCATCGAGTCCGCTCCAACATTCAGTCATGGCTGATGTGTTTCTCAACCCCATTCTTCTGCCTTCTCCCTGTAACCCTTGATCCCCTTAGTGGGATCACTGTGAGGAAAAACTATGGGATCTACCACTCTAAAGCAATAATATAGCGTTGATGATTTTGAAATCACTGGCTTTGTTTCCCTCACATTAATGTTTGACAATGACCTAGGTGTACACAATAAATCTGGAATCGAAGCACCTGCTAATACAGGGAGTGCCAGCTGTGGGAGTCATGAAGGAGTTGATTGAACTCTTTGCATTATATGGAACCATTGAAGAATATTCTGTATTGCATGAGTATCCAGCCGAGGAATTCACAGAAGTTTATCACATCAAATACCAAAGATTACAGAGTGCAAGGTAATGAACTAGGAATGAACTAGGATAACTTTCTCAGTTTATCTTTCATTCTTTCTTTGTACAGTAAACCTTTTACTAACTGGTGCCCTATGGGACCAGTAGTGTGCCGGTTGATCAAGAGGTCCACATAATCAGTATAAAAACACACACTAAGTAATAGAAATGTAATGGAAGAAAAAAAACACATTGCTGCTGCACTTTACATCATAAATCACTTGAATAATAATCCACTTAGCCTTAAATAAAACTTACAAGCAGAGAGCCTTCCCACGTGCACTCTCAAATGACTACTTGGGCATTGTGGAGATCCCAATAATACAATAAAATCTCAGTATTTTAGGTATATAATTTTTGCCGGTTTATCGAAAGTGCCGATTCTTAAGGTGCCAACTAAAACAAAGTTTGCTATATCTTTTTATTGGAGTTAATGAATTTTTGAAATTAACTCACGTTGGCTAGCCTCTTTATAAAGTAACAAGTTATCCGTTTTATTCTTACCACAGGGTCTGAGTCGTACAAAGTGAATTATGTTTAATATACTGTACAGTATGCTTTTTGGTTCAAAATATAAGTTGATGGTAAAGTTTGTGCGATCTTAGTCCGTGGTTCAATTTTGGATATAGTCTAAAATTCCATACACTTGAAAATTTTACAGATAAAAGTAATGGTATCGGTAAATGTCTATCAAATTTGTATAATTTTTAAAGAAATGTAGCTAGTATTCAATCTTAACAAACATAAACATAATATCTGCTAAGTAAAACCAATATCCATTTATCAGATAATTTGGAGTTACTCCTTTTCTCTGCTACTTGGTATGAATTAAGGTACAAGAGACTCAAATTTTAAAAGCTGTAGTTATTTTAACTGTATCTTTAGTTTCACTAGCAGTCTTCTCATAAGAGAGGAGTTGTAAAAGTGTGCTACTATATTATGATGTTTATTAGATTCTGCACTTCTAAAAATTCTATACCTTCAGTGGTTCCTGGCATTTCAAGAATGTTTTATTGATGTAGAAATGTTACTTCACATAATTTGGTGAAATGAATGTCACTATTTCTATGTTTTTGTCAAAGTAAAATTTAATGTAATTTTATTTTCTATAAATTTGATGTTTATTAAGTATGCTGCACTGCCCAACAACTGGATTTAACCATATATTTTCATCATTTCTCAGAATAGCAAAACGTAAACAAGATGAGCGAAGTTTTTTTGGTCGTTTGCTTCATGTGTGTTATGCCCCAGAGTTTGAATCAGTGGAGGATACCAGAGAAAAATTAAAAGAGAGGAGAAGGTACATAATGAGGTCAACAAGCAACAAAGGTTTGTTCATGGACTACCTTTTTCGTTTATGTAGCTTCCCTTCTGTCACCAAGAATAAAGCCAAAAATTGTTTGTTTCTAAATGTGAAAATGTAATTAGTCTTTTCATTTTTTTTGAACACACACGTTAATGCTTTGCTGAAGGAAGGTTAAGGTTTACACGCTTCAGGTACTCAGAACACAATTTTAACTTGTACTCAAAATAATTAAGTTTGTATCTATTTGTTTGGAAATTTTGAAGTATAATACAGCAGATGCAAAGTCTGTACACCACTCCTATACAGTAGGTTCAAATACTATATTCATGAAATAGCATTAACTGAAGAGTTAGCAGTGAAAACTAACATTTTCTGCTAGTTTCCTTTGGGGAGCAGCCAGATTTTGAAGTTCAAAGATACCAGCTATTGGTGTACAAACATCCTGCAGCAACAAGAAGTATTGAATTCAATGTTTCTTTTCACAGCATTTACAACAATGGCATTCAAGAGAGCACCCTAATAGCAGAATAATAAATTACTGTATATTTTGTACTCTAATACATTCTCTGACTTATCAAGAGCAGTACAACAGATCCAGAAGTGCATAGATGTTCTTTGGGAAGCATATGGCAAATGCATATGGTCATACCTAGAGAGGTGGAGCAGCTTTTTCCAATCATCTGACCCTGCAAAGTTTAAGAAACTGAAACCAACTGGGGAAAATATATGTGCATAAGTATAAAAAACACATAATATGAAACTTTGCATGCTCTAAAATGGATATTTGCTGTTCATATCTTGGACATCCTTGCATTGGTGTATATGTGTTAACCCCCTTCATGTCTCTTTTCTTGAGTGTTTGAATTCTTGCTGAGATACAGAACCACAGAAAACATAACACCAATGAATAGTAGAAAAACAGCTGTTTTTTTTCCAAATTGAGGAAGTTGATCATAGTTTTTAACTACCCCCTCAACATCTCCAGCTCTAATCAATGAACCTGAAATCTACCTGGTCTGCATAGTTCATCCATTATCTTAACCATCAGGAAGCTTGTACTCCAGGGGTATTCAAAACAATTATCTTACTGGGCTAGACAATAAATGTAGTGGAGACCCATGACCTGTATATAAACAGTTACGTACAAAGCACTGAAATCTGGGATTACTTCACTTTAGAATATAAAAACATTTAAGAAAGTTGATTTAAAAAGAACTGAACGAATACTTTATTAAAAAAACCGAAAGAACTGCAGATGCTGGAAATCTGAAACAAAAACAGAAATTGCTAGAAAATTTCAGCAGGACTGGCAGCATCTGTGAAGAGAAATCAGGTTTAACGATTCGGGTCCAATGACCCTTCTTGAGAATTTTACTATAATGCTTTCTGTATCCTCATATCACAACCACCTCTCCGTAATTAATTCTAACATTTGTATATTGGCATCTGAAATAAAATGCTACATCATTTTAAGTTTTACCTACTACAAAGTTCATGGCATATTAATCAGCATGCATTAAAATATTTTAGTGTTTCAAGTAATTAGTTAGTTTTGGGCTGAATTTGAAGCTTGAAGGTTATTTTTAATCATTTAGTAAAATGTTAGATTTCTTTGGTTTCTGATATATTTTCCGAATGCAATCTACTTGAGAATGTAGATAGTGAGGATGATACCAACAGGCATCAGCAGGACTTGGGCAGACACATAAACAAAATCTAAATACAGTGTGAAGTGGTTCACTTTGATACAAAGAATGAGATGAGGCAATATAAAAATAATACCATTTTAAAAGTGTTGCAGAAGCAGAGAGATGTGTGATTGGAACATATGTACATAAGGTAAGAGGACAAGTTGTTCCAATCCTAACAAATTGGATCCCAGAATGAAATCAGGCTTGATAGATTTTTTTAATTAATATGGTAATCATTCACAAATATAATCACATGAGGCTGCAGAGCTTCACTAACAACAGAGCGAATATTTATTACACAAAATCAAAAAAGAAACTATGTGGGTATACAACAGGTTGAAAAATCTTAATAGCCAGCAAAACAAAGTTTCAAACTAGTTCCAACGTGAACACCTTATTCAAATCCTGACAAATTGCACCTCTATTTTAAATATTTAGTTCATCGTGCCGTTTTGCTGCTAGCTGATGTTCATGTATTCTGATGGCTAGTTTCCTTCCTGTCTGTCCGATGTAATGTTTGTGGCAGTCATTGCATGGTATTTTGTAAACCACGTTTGTTCTGCATGTTGTGGGAATGGGGTCTTTAATCCTTGTAAGTGTTTGTTGTAGACTGGCTGTGGGCTTGTGGGCCACTATGATTCCTAGTGGTCTTAGGAGTCTTGTTAAAACCGAAAAAACTGCGGTTGCTGTAAATCAGGAACAAAAACAAGGTCTGGCAGCATCTGTGAAGGAAAAAAACAGAGTTAACGTTTCAGGTCCGGTGACCCTTCGTCAGTTCTGAGGAAGGGTCACCGGACCCGAAACGTTAACTCTGTTCTTTCCTTCACAGATGCTGTTAGACCTGATGCGCTTTTCCAGCAACTTTGTTTTTGTTAGGAGTCTTGTTGTCAGTTCCGATATGTTCCTCATGTTGGGAAGTGTGGTAAGTGTGTTAGGTCGAACTGTATCCTCCAGTTGTTGTCTGTTATGTGGGCATCTGTGGATGAAGTTGTGGGGATATCTGTTTAAAGTGACGGTCTTGTATAAGTGTTCTTTTTCTTCGCGGCATAATTCTGGAGTGTTTGCAGTGTGTTCTGGCCCGTTTAAATAGTGTCCTAATGCAGCTTTGTTTCTGGACATTAAGGTGGTTGCTGTGGAAATTGAGAATTTGATCTGTCTGGGTTGCTTTTCTGTACACTGAGGTTTGGAACTCCCAGTTTGTGAGTCATTCTGCCTTAACATCCAGAAATGGAAGTTGATTGTTAGTTTCTTCTTCCCTTGTGAATTTAATTCTTGTGAATATGCTGAGGAACATTTCGGAACTGACAACAAGACTCCTAAGACCACTAGGAATCATGGTGGCCCACAAGCCCACAGCCACTCAACAACAAACACTTACAAGGATTAAAGGCCCCATTCCCACAACATGCAGAACGAACGTGGTTTACAAAATACCATGCAACAACTGCCACAAACATTACATCGGACAGACAGGAAGGAAACTAGCCATCAGAATACATGAACACCAACTAGCAGCAAATATCTGTACATTCAGACAATGAAGGTCATCAGTTTAACTGGGACAAAGTAACCATAGTAGCCCAAGCCAAACATACACACACATAGCAATTCCTGGAGGCATGGTTCTCCACCCATACTTCAATCAACAAACATATAGAATTGGATCCCATATTTAAGCCCATACAGATCAAAACCGGAAATGACAGTACTCACCACTACGGACTGGACAGTATAAATCCCAAGCAGAGTAGAATAACATTGCTTCAGCGGAGGCTCCACTGATGATGTCACCTAGCATGGTGACAAAACGTCTGAACAAAAACAAGCCAGCTTGGCGAGCAACTCAGCAACCTCATCCACAACCCAAGCTACATATCTTTGCCAATACTTTAAATGTAAACCAACTTTGGATAGTTTGACTAAACCATTTCACATTTGTGATAACTCTGGGAATAGTGGGGCTTGATTTCCAGTGCACTACACCAATGAGTTGTCACCGTATTTATTTCTCATCTCATCACAAAGTTGAAAAGGCTATTTAAAGAGAGCTTACATAATCATTGCTTTTATAAATGGATGCATAAAATACAACAGCAAGAAATTCTGCACTGATTTTATAGAACACCGATTATGTCGCAGCTGGAATATTGGCCCCACACCTTCAAGAGGCTGCAGAGTGTATTTATTAGAGTGATACATGGGATTAAAGCCTTGACTAAAGTCAACTTACTTGGTTTAAAATTTCAACCAAAATTTGGGAGACATCTGTTCCTTAGTACATTCTCCATTGCAACACCCAACCAATCAGCATATGCATGCCAACAAATCAGCACTTTCTTTTCATGCAGTATAAATTGTTCCTTTTGAAATTTGGTATTGATGTGATTCTGTCTTGATCAGTGCAAAACAAAATAGCTTCAACGGTATGTCTCTCTTAACATCAATATATAATATATTGTTTCGAGAGTAATTAGGGGAATTGCAGACATAGGGGGATTAGTGGAGAAACTTAAGGAGGTTAATCAATGTGTAATATCATGAAGAATTTTGATAGACTAAATAAGGACAAACTGCTTCTAGTGGCAGCAAATTTGACCAGTGTAAACAGATTTAAGATATTTGGTCAGAAAATCAGAGGCATAAAAGAAAAACACAGTTCTGGTCTGAAACACATTGGCGTAAGGATCATGGAAGCAGATTCAATACAAGTTTCAAAAAGTAAAACACTTGTATAGGAAATTTTGCAAGCACTAATTACTGGGACTAATTGTACTTCGTATGTTAGGCCAAATGGTTGCCTTTTATGCCATATTACTTTATTACTTGTATATGGATAACACCATTGATCTGTGACATTAACATGCTTTAAATTAGCTGTAAGCAAGCAATTGTATTTGTGTGCCACCTTAAATCATCTCAAAGCACTTTACAGCCAATGAAGTACTTTTTGAATTGTAGACATTGTGTACTATTTGAAACAACAGCTGTATTATACTTCAAACTAAAACTTACAATTATGCTTTTTTCACATTTGTCCTTTTAGATACAGATCTATACAAAGCGGGAAAGAAAGTCATAAAACCAGTTACCTTATCAAATACTGCAAAGGAAGCATTTTCTGAAAAACCTGAGCATTGTGCAAGTTTGGAATCCAAGCAGATGAAGTGGAATACAGATTCCATATATAGTTACCCAATGCCGTTGCCACCACTTCAACCAGATAATCCAGCCGCTTCATCGACATCAAGGGTCAGACAAGAATGTCCTCAAATGTCTTCTTTTTGTGGAACATTACCGAAAGACATTGCTGTTAGTACAGAAAACCAATCATATTTTGAATCTAAATTACCTTGTTTTCACAACCAGTGTTTGGACAAATCTGGTGATTCTAAGGATTCCTGGAGTTCGGAAAGAAAAACTTGGACCCCTAATATTGGGACTTGTGTCTCCAGATTTGTTCCCAGGACTACTCTGCTGCAAGGCAGGAAGAAAATAAATCAAGAAATGAACATTCACATATGTGATGGATTTGATACTGACAGTACTACAGTGGTATTAGGACCAAAGCTTCCAGAAATGCCAAAGATGGACTTAGGGGATACTTCCTTAAATATGTCTGCTACTTTGATCAGGAATAAACTTACAGAGGTATGCATTATACAGCATTACGTCCACAATAGAATACTGGAACAAGGTAGCCAAAGATGATGAGAGACATGACATGGAATCTTCTGTTTGTGTGCACTGTGAAAACTAAATATCAAAAATGTACCCAGTCAACATATAGTACTGAGTTATGTGCAAATCTAAAATTACATTTTGTTAGTCACATTTAATTTGATTACACCTAGATTGCTCACACGTATACGCATATACAGAAAATTTCAGGCTTATTTGAACACTGAGGGTAATTATCCACATGGACTGATTGGGTTGAATAGTCTGTTTCAGTGTTATAACTTCTATATGTTTCTATATTTTAGAAACTAAATAAAAACCTTACTTTATTTTGGTTTGAAAAATTTAGTTTTCCCACCAATTCTTCAATTTTTCACAGGAAAGCAAGCATCTGGTGGCATGTAGGATTTTCATATGGGCAGATGAAGAGGAAGCTAGTGTTATCACATAGCTTTTAGGAGCTGCTGCTCCATATATCTTGGTAGATAGTTCATGACTAGAGTAGACAGGCCTGGGAACAAACTACTTGACTTTTTTTTCAAGCATGGAATTGATGCATGGTTGTATAAACCTGCAAAGGAAATTTAAAAAGAATAATTAAAAGATGTTATCTCTCAAGAGTTGTTTTTGTGACATGTTGAAAAAGGTTGATAGCTGTGTTTATAGTTAAAAGTTTTTCTTGTTTTCACTAGGTTTTGTCTTCTTCTACAAAAGAAGCTGAAGTATTACAAATAAAACCTCCAAAACAACGTCGAAGAATCTAAAGATGAGCTCCCTGAAAGATGGAAGAAAAATAATTGCTTCGCTATTATGTGCTATTTCACATAAGTACTTCACATAAAATGTATTGGTTTGATTATTGGTAGCTCTTGCTACCTAAGCAAATGTACCAATCTACTTTATGCATAAGGTGATTCCAGAAAGACAACAGCGTTAATCTGGAAGATTGCTAGTTATAATATTTAAGAGAGGAAGGTTACCCACAGACACTGGGAGATCGTTTTTCAAATAGTGCTGTGTGATCTTTAATGTCCACTAGAACAGTCAGAAGCAACCTCAATTTAATGTCACTTCAGAAGAACGGTGTCTTCCATAGAAATCCTTCAATAATGCACTAAAGTGTTGCCTTGGCTCATATATTCAAGTCTTCACACAATACTTCATTCCACCAATTGTAGTGGGAGGCCAAGCCTAGGAAATTTAGAAAGAGTAAGTTAATATGGAAAATCAAATTTGCCAGAATAGAAGTTAAATATAGATTTAGAATGATGACTATAATGAAGGACAAAGAAAAAAGGTGAAAACACACAAACATAAGACAGGTACAGAAAAGAGAGAGATGTGATTAACAATAAATAAAATTGTTCAACAATGCAAAAGCAAGTGTTGCACTTACACCGAGTGATAGACCCCTAAGAAGAGATTGCTTTCGTGAAGATGAGCACACTTTAATTTTGCATATGAATAACAATGAGCAATCAGCTGAAATTCACAGGAAAAGGCTTTTTTGATACTTTTCACCCCCTTAATATTAAATAACTTCAGAAATAAATGTACTCACCAACTTTGCTTGTTTTTACTAATTGTGTAATTTCCATAACCATTTCTGAAATAAAGATGGAACGATGACATGGTTAAATTGCTGATGGAAGAAAGGAAATTATTTAATGTCTTCAAAAATATATTATGATTTGCTTGTTCTGGGATATGATTGAGTTGGAATGATGCATTTATTCCCAATCCCTAGTTGACTTGCAAATATAGTGGTGCGCATTATTGAATGGCTGCAAACGTAGTGATACTGTTGACGTTAGATAGGGGAGTGTAGGATATCAACATGGCGCAAAAGGAGGAGTTAGGATATGTGCCTGGTTTAGGCTTATATTTGGTGGTAGCAATCACAGAAGATTTTTTTTAATGATATGTTAGCACAGTTATGTTATTTACACAGTTGTAAATATTTCATGGATTTGCAATGGCTTCGGTTATATTAGCCACACATTCTATTATTCACTATCAGCCACGAGAATGAAACAGGTATATGTCTGTTACATCGTCTGATGCTTTTTACATTGTTTTTGTTGCTTGTGGTTTTTTTAATCCTGTCTGTTTTTCTTTGAATTCTTTTGGGTGGGAAGGTATGTAGAAAACATTTGGGGTACTAATGCAAAGGACATAAAAGATAACATCACTAAATCCGTCCTTGTGTATTCCTACAATTTTTTCCTTTTTTTGAATTTATTTGAAGTTATTCCTACTTACTGTGGAGAGATTATTAACAGCAACTAATGCTGCAAAGCCAGCTGAAACATACGTAAGTCTAGATACGAGTGTTCACAGGCACCCAAAAGAGCACTAAATTTCTGTCCATCCAGTGCGATGTGATTTAGTGCAAATGATTATTAATGTTTTCAATGTATTAGTTGCTTAATCACTAGAACAACATCCACTCTGCAAATTGCTTTTCAATAAGTAATTAAAAATAAGCATAAAATAAATCATGTTCGAATTTGAGTTTTGCTTTTAGGTCGATTCCATTCCAAGTAATTTCATAGATCAATTATTTAGTACTGCTTTAAAATATGATACTGAAACTTTTTAAATAATACATTTGTTTCTAACTTAAAGGTACATTTCTTCCATTGCAGTTATTAAGATATTTCATTTACATTACAGTTAGGAACAGAAACAGTGCCTTTGTCAGTTCACCCGAGTTTTCTTTTATAGCGAATAAACTAGAAGCCTTCTTCTGGGAGCTGAGGCTTCAGACATTCCTAAGAAGTACTGTAGGTAACTGTGCACGTAGAAATTTCAATTCACAGTTATATTACCTAAAGCAGATTAACAATTAACAGATTAGACATTTAAGATATTGTGAATTTTCCTTAACTTTATTAGTTAAGTCTACAAAGAAAAGAAAATTTCACACATGCTTCCACAATAATGTAACAGACATTATAGAAAGTCAAGATATTCCCATTCTGTTGTGGATATTAGGCAGATTTAATATGGTGGGGGGTGGGTTGTGTGTATGGGAAAGCTGTATGACTGCAACTGCATCATGCACAATAATCAATGTTGTACCTTTTCAAGTACAAAAGTGAAGTACCCAAGATTCGTTATTTGGTTGTCACTTCGACAGATGCTTTAGAATGCAAAGTAGGAGAGGCATGAATACTTGTTCCCATCTCATTACATTGGGCCTGCATCTATTTGAGGTGTTGGCTGCCAATCCAATTGCAGCTTTCTGCAAGAATACTGAAGTTTTACGTTAGATGTGAAGTCTTGCCTTTACAAGTTCCCATCCTTTCTCATTAGTCCTTGGAACTGAGCATTCTCCAAGCAAAACAAAGCCAAAAATAGCTACTTTCCTCTCTATTCCTCCATTATTTCTTCCTTTTGAATCTTGTTGAACAAAATTTCAACTAAATAACTTGTGGAAACCATGATCACATATCTAAAAATTGCAGTTCCATCCAGTCAGCTACCACAAGTGTAGTAGAAACAGCAGGTGTTGTAACATAGTCTAGGTTGGATGGAGATAAAAATGATGAAATTGATCATGAGCAATAGCGGTGGCTGTCCATTTAACATTTAGTCCGATATTATTTTCCATTCATGTTAATTTCACACCCAAAATCTTTTTCACAATATACAGATCCTTGAAAACAAATTGCTAACATTCAAAATGTGTTCATTTAATATAATTGGTTTCTGCAATTACTTAATTGTACAGACAATATAGGCAAAATTGGCATTGGCAAAAGTTTACAATATTGAGGTGCATTGTCATAATCAAATTTATACATCTTTTATACATAAAATGTACATTGAGTTTTGTTAAACATATAAAAACATGAATCTTTCTATCCTCTTTAAAACTAAGACAATTTTTGAACAATCAGGAATATCCTGTGAGAATTCTACAAAATGTCTTATCAAAGGCTTTTCAAAGAGTGGTCACACCCAATGCAATTTTTCATATTTCTCCAATTTTTAAAGAAAAATTGAGATAACTGGAAATATATGTTTATTTTGCAATGTTAAATACTTATTTACTCATTGACATGTCAATGTTATATAAAAATAACAATTTGCATTTCAGAATTGTACCACTCATATTCCATGTATTTAATGCAAAGATTTGAGCTGGTGCAACAGGAAGACTTATTTTATACAGTTAATAAGCAAGAAATATACTTAGCCAAGTGCACAATGCTCGATTTAACAAATTCCTTGGTGCATGACCTATTAGTAATTAAGTTAACTAAAATGAATACAATGACAGTGGAGTCTTACAAAGTGTCAACAAAAATTAATCGTCCTTGTTTTTCTTGAAGGCCTGTTCTTCAAATGCAAGTGCACTCTACAAATAATGATAAAAAACATAATTCAAAAAGATCATTTTATCAGTTATCCCGTACCGCCATTACTGTTCATAATTGTGGCTTTCAACTTTGCACGATGCCAAGTTGTTTATGTCAGATGTAATACTGTATTCCTCAGTTAAAAGCTTCAGTTTATATTAAATGGAGTGATATATTGAACAAATCAGGAATAGGACAACACTAACAACCTTTAATACTCTTTGTGCGTTTCAGTGATTTCATTAAGCAAAAAAAATGAAACTCAACTTGTTGCCAGATTATACTATCATTCAAGCTTTATATATAATTTATTTTGTGCCAGTCACTTCAGTCTATTAACCATGTCTTTACTCATGAGGATCTGAATTATCTTGCAACTTTGTCATTGGTCCAGGACAACATTTTGTACCACTGTTTTCAATCATTAGCACCCCATACACCACCTTAAGCATTCACTTTCTCCATCAATGAGATACAATGGCAGCTTAGTGTACCATTTAAAAGATGCACTGCAGCAGCTCGCTATGCCTCCTTTGACAGCACCTTCTAAACCCATGAACTCTGCAATTCAAACATGATTAAGGTTCTTGCCAAGATTTGTAGCTCAGGTTGTGGGTGAGGTTGTTGGCTTGCTCACTGAGCCGGCTAGTCATTGTACAGACGTTTTGTCACCATGCTAGGTAACATCATCAGTGCGGCTTCTGATGAAGTGAAGTTGTTCCACTTCGATTGGAATTTATATGATCCGGTCCGTTAAGTTGGGTTGTGTCATTTCCGTTTTTTTTTTTGCGTGGGTTTGTATATGGGTCTAATTCCAAATGTTTGTTGATTGCATTACGAGTTGAAAACCAGGCCTCTAGGATTTCCCGTGCATGTCTGTGGTTGCCTTGAGCTAGGATGATCATGTCCTAGTTAAATTGATGGCCTTCATTGTCAGAATGATACGACGAACTTCCCCTCATCTCAGTGCACTCGGACAATGAAGACCATCAATTTAATTGGGACGTGACCATCCTAGATCAAGCCAACCCCAGACATGCACGGGAACTCCTAGAGGCCTGGTTTACAACCCGTAATGCAATCAACAAATATCTGGAATTGGACCCCATACACAAACCCACGCAAAAAAGAACCAGAAACGACACAACCCAACTCAACAGATCTGATCAGATCAGATAACTTCCAACCGGAGTAGAACAACATCACTTCATCGGAGGCTGCACTGATGATGTTACTTAACATAGTGACGAAAAGTCTGTACAATAACCAGCCAGCTCGACATGCAAGCCAACAACCTCATCTCAAACATGAGCTGGCAACCTGTGGAGGATGGATACTTATACAACTCTGAAACTTGATTGGTCAAATCCATTTTTCTCATTATCAATTTTTAGAATATAGTTATCAAAATCAGTTTCTAATTTTAAACAAAAGGCACATATGGGAAAAAAAATTACTTGGCAATGGATATTTTGACAGCTAGAACTTGTGAAATGTTCAGTCACAGAAATTTGAAATTGTATCAAAAACTTGCTTGGATCAAGGTCATATGTTGCAGTGTTTTGCCAAGCAAATGATGTTATGAACTAGCATGTTAATGGCTTATATATTGCTCACTAGAAATAAGGTAGGTCATTTTCAGACAGATGTGTATATCTTTAAAGAAACTAGCTGCCCATTGTGAGAATGTTTTGCTACAAAAAGAATTCATTTCAGAAAACAAAAGGATTACTGGGAATTAAATGGCTTGTATTCTCCAACTTTTAATAATATTCTATTTTTGAGAAAGGATATAACTTGAAAATATTATAATCAAATACCGTCTTTAACTGCTATTGAAACATGCACCTCTACTGCATCAGTAAAAAGTACTGCATAGAAATCCTTGAGTATGTCACTGCCATTTTGTTTCCATTTTTATTAGTATTTGAGTAACAGCATTACAGCCATTAAGATTTTGCATTTTTGACATTTTTAAAAATAACTTCCTGTCACTGAAGTTACTGCAATTCATAAGGACATCACACTACCTGCAAGTTCCTTACCAACCAACACATCATCCTGATATGGAACTATATTACCATTCCTTCACTTGTCATTTGGCAAAAATCTAGAAACTCTCTTCCAACAGGACTGTGGGTATGCCTACATAAGAACTCAGAGCAGGATTAGGCAATTCAGCCCCTTCAGCCTGCTCTGCCATTTAATACAATCGTGGCTGATCTCATCTTGGCTTCAAATCCACTTTCCTGCCTGCTCTCCATAATCCTTTAACCAGTTACTAATTAAAAATTGGTCTTTCTCCTCCTTAAATTTATTCAGCGTACTGACATTCACTGCATTCTGGGGTATGAATTCTGTAGATCATGATCTTTTTGAGAGAAATAATTTCTCCTCATCACTTTTAAATCTGCCACGCCTTAGCCTAAAACTTTGACCTGCATGCACTGCAGCTGTTGAAAAGGTAGCTCACATCACTACTTTCTCAAGAGTAATTGGAGATGGACAACCAATGTTGGCCTTGCCAGCACTGCTCATATCCCATGAATGATTAAAAAAAAGTAATATTGTAATTTTCCAAGAATCTAAAGTTTAGCATCACAATCTTGAACTTCTAGAAATAAGGTTAAATGAAGTAAGTCCACTGACTAGTTTAAATTTATTAATAAGAGTTTGCTATCTTTTAAGCTCCCTTCTATAGAAACATCACTAAAAGGGTCCAATGAACAGAGCTCCATACATGCTTTAAATAAAATTATGCAAACCTCTAAATTCCCCAACTTGGAAATTATAACAGCTACCTAACGTTATGTGGTTCATCACCAAGTGAAGGTAACCAAGAAGTAAATTGAGTCTGAGTTCTGCAAAAGCAAACTTCACAAAGTATGACAAAAGTACTCTTGATAACCCGGCAAGGAAGAAGAAGGATATATTACTGGCACAGCACAGTTCTTTACTAAGCATAATATTTATACTGGCAAAGGAAAGTTAGAATAATCCCAAAATCTGATTTTCATTTAACACTATGAACAACTATACATTCTGAAATATAATACCAAATTAGAGTTTACATTTCATTAAGTTTATACTGGCAAATGGTTATGAATGGTTGACTTATTTCTGCTGATAATCATAATCTCCATTGAATATTTTGGATATCATCTGTGACTATACCCCAAAATAAAGTTGGAAATCAAATGATTTATATTGCAACTAAATAGCATGATTTAAGTTGGACCATTAAGCAATGTACCTTTGAATCTGGTAGGCAGGATCCAAAAGCTTCCAACAAGAGATTATCAACCTTTACTGCTTTCTCAAAGTCTGCATATGAAACTTTGTTATCATGGTCATAGTCCTAGTAAAGAAAAGGACAGATTTTGCAACAATAATTAATATAGAAGTAGACCACATAGAGCAATTAGGTGGTATAATAAATTACCACACTGTCCATTCACCTTTAGCACTTGAAGCTCTCTTCCAATATGTTTCCACAATATTGGTCCTATGAAAGATTTATCTAGGTATTTAAAAGCTAGATTTAAGGTCAGCATGGACTCAAACTTTGGCACAAATGCTCTCTAAGTGAGGTTGATATAAGGATAGTTGCTGTGGAAACTGGTTATTTCAACTAGAGGACTAGGTGGTTGAAGAAAAATAATGGATGTTTCACCAGTTAACTTGCTTTGCTATTTATAGGATCTAGGAGCCATTTAGTCCATTGGGCCTGCTTCAAATGTGCTGATCGAACACTTCAATGCCCTTTTCCCATACTATCCCCAAACCCCTTTGCACCACTGGTAAGAAGAAACCCCAGCATGGAAAATTTGGGCCAAAGGGTTGGGTGTTTCCGTGCTGTATGTCTCGGACTCTACCTTAAACATATTCAAAGACTGAGCTTCCACAGCCGTCTGATAGAGAATTCCAAAGGTTCACAATCCTCTCAGTAAAAAAAAATTCTCATCTCTGTTCTAAGTGGCTTCCTCTTTATTTTTACATATGCCCTGTTCTAGCTTCCTCAACTGGGAACAGTGCCTACTAAGATGGGGCCAGAACAGGGTACAATAGATGCCTCAGGAGTGGAGTAGGTAGTTGAGGCAAATTTGATAAGACATAGCAAGAAACTCACTAAGACTTGCAGCAAAAAGCCATCCAAAAACCTGACCCAAGTTAGCAAAAAAGACATAAGATTCAGCCCGCTGTCTTTCAAACTAAATATTAAATTGAACCTCTGTCTGCTTTTTTAAGTGAATACAAAAAAATCCCAAAGAACATCCCGGACAAGCCCTGATTTCTTCCAAAACTAGAGGGCATTCGCTTAAGGTGAGAGGGGAAAGATTTAAAAGGAACCAAAGGGACAACATTTTCACGCAGAGGGTGGTGTGTGTATGGAATGAATTGCTACAGGAAGTGGTAGTCTGGTACAATTACAACATTTAAAGGCATCTGGATAGGCATATGAATAGAAGGATTTAGAGTGATATGGGCCAAATGCTGACAATTGGACTGGATTAATGTAGAATATCTAGACAGCACGGACGAATTGGACCAAAGGGTCTGCTTCCTTGCTGTACATCTCTATGACTATTTTTTTGGAAAGAGTAGGGCAGTTATTCCATGTCCTGGCCAACATTCACATCTCAATCAACTTAAATTCAGATTAACTGGTACTGTCACATTGTTGTTTTTGGGGGATCGCTGTGTGAAAATTAGTTGACCCACTTTCTACATTACAAAGTAATTGCACCTCAAAAGTACCACATTGGCTAAAAGAAATTATAAGACATCATGTAAATACTAGCCATTTTCACTTCATGCTCTCCACTGAAAGCATGGTTGGCACATCTGCATACAATGTAACATTCCCAGTATAATCTGATAGAAAAAACTACATTAGCTGCCTTTGTCCCATTATCAAAGGTCACATGGACACATCCTAATGCTTGAACAGGTGGAATAGTAATGAAAATAATTGTGCAAGTGCTTTCAGATTTTTTTTCCTTTATTCATTCATGGGATGAGGGGTGTCGCTGGCTAGGCCAGCATTTGTTGCCCATCCCTAATTGCCCAGAGGATAGTTAAGAGTCAATCACATCGTGTGGGTCAGCAGTCACATGTAGGCCAGATCAGGTAAGGATGGCAGTTTCCTTCCCTAAAGGACATTAGTGAACCAGATGAGTTTTTCTTGACAATCAACAACACATTCACAGTCATCGTTAAGATTCTTAATTCCAGATATTTATTGAATTCAAATTCGATCACCTGCCATGGTAATATTGAACCCAGGTCCCCTGCACATTATCTGGGTCTCTGAATAAACAGTCTAGCAATAATACCACTAGGCCATCGCCTCCTCCCATAATAAAGCCATAAAAAAAGGTTTTTGAAAGAACAAAATCACAATGATTCCTCTTCCTTTTCCACTTTGAGTGAAGCAAGTATTTTATCTATTTCGTGAGGTGTTCATCTTCCTCATGAGTGTTCCCTTCACGTTTTTAAAGCATATTTATAGAAAATCATTGAAGAATTGTCTCTTTAAAATGTTATATAAAATCATGAAAAGACAACACGCTTCACTGTTATCACTTTCTCATTTCTGGTTATTTTCATTCTTGTCCTAAGACTTGAGAAGGGAATGTCCCTTATTTGTGTTTCCTGACCTTAGAGAACAGCTGATAGTATATATTTTTCATCTAAAGAGTAACCTCCATGCAATATGGTTCTTTCTAAGAAAGACACGTCAGATTATTTAAGAGGTTTTCTCACCATCTTTTTCAGTGCTATCTCTACCAAGTCTTTAACTCCCTCATCAGGATCTTCTTCTGTTGGTTGTTTGATTAGGCTGCTTTTGAGCATGTGAAACATCTCCTCGCGTGAAATGAACCCATCTCCATTCAGATCAAAAACTTCAAAACAGACTGGATCAAAATAAATCAAATAACTTTAGACTGTATTAATTACCATCCAAACATGTACATGCATTTTATACAATTCAATAAATGTATATATAATCCTACATTTAATTTTTTCATCCAAAGTCCCACGGAGAATTATTGATAATCCTTCAATCCATTCCTTTAAGTTGACATAGCTATCATTGTCTTTGTCAAATACACGAAAAACTGAGGACAAAAAAAGAAAACCAAACTCACGTCAAGTATTTAATGTTTACTTAAAATTATTGAGTTTACATTGCAGGCCTGAAATGGAGAAATTTGAATTAAATAAGATCTGGAATTTAAAAATGAGCCTAAATAACAACCACGTAACTATTGTCAGTTGTCATAAAACTCTACTGCTTAACTAATGTCCTTTAGGGAAGGAAATCTATCATCCTGACCTGAAATGACGAGTATATGACTCCAGACCCACAATGTGATTGACTCTTAACTGCCCTCTGAAATGGCTTAACAAATATCTCAGTTTTTTAAAATCCCTACAAAGTCTAAACAAAGAAATAAAACCAAATGGAACACTCAGCATCAATCCAGCACCAGGAAAAGCAAGACAAATCCAACCCAACCCATTACTGCCCCATCAGTCTATTCTCAATCATTGGTAAAATGGTGGAAGGTGTCATAAACAGTGCTATCAAGCAGCACCTGCTCAGCAATAACCTCCTCGCTGATGTACAGATTGTGTCTGCCAGGGCCATTCAGCTCCTGACCTCATTACAACCTTGGTTCAAATATGGAAAAAAGAACTGAATTCCAGAGGTGAGATGAGAGTGACAGACTTTGACATTAAGATCCCATTCAACCATGTGGGGTATCAAGGAGCCCTAGCAAAACCAGAAACAATGGGAATCAGGGGGCAAACTCTTTAGTGTTTGGAGTATTATGCCACACATAGGAAGATGGTTGTGGTTGTTGGAGATCAGTCATCTCAGCTCCAGGATATCACTGCAGGAGTTCTTCAGGGAGATGTCCTCGGCCTAACCATCCTCAGCTACTTCATCAATGACTTTCCCTCCATTATAAGGACAGAAGTGGGGATGTTCGCCGATGATTGTACAATGTTTAGCACCATTCACAAGTCCTCAGATACCGAACCAGTCCATGTTCAAATGTAACAAGATCTGGACAATACCCAGGCTAGGGCTGACAAATGGCAAAGAACATTTGCGTCACACAAATGCCAGGCAATGACCATCTCCAGTAACAGACAATAATCTAACCACTGCCCCTTGACATTCAATGATGTTACCGTTACTGAATCCCCCACTAACATTCTCGGGATTACCATCAACCAGAAACTCAAGTGAACTCGCCACAGTGACTACAAGAGGCTAGGAATACTGTGGCAAGTAACTCACTTCCTGCTTCCCCAAAACCTGTGCACCCATCTACAAGGCATAAGTCATGAGTGCGATGGAATACTCCCCACTTGCCTAGATTGGTGTAGCTCCAAAAAACTCAAGAAGCTTGACACCATCAAGGACAAAGCAGCCCGTTTGACTGGAATGACATCCATAAGCATCCATTCCCTCCACCACCAACAGTAGCAGCAGTGTGAACTATCTACAAGGTGCACTGAAGAAATTCACTAAAGATCATTAGGCAGCACCTTCCAAACCCACAACCATTTCCATCTAGAAGGACAAGGGCAGCAGATACACAAGAATGGCACCATCTGCAAGTTCCGCTCAAAGCTACTCACCACCTAGACTTGGAAATATATCGCTATTCCTTCATTGTCACCAGGTCAAAATCCTGGAATTCCCTCCCTAAGTGCATTGTCAGTCAACCTACAGCACATGGACTGCAGCAATTGAAGAAGGCAGCTCACTGCCACCTTCTCAAGAGCAACTTGGGAAGGCAATAAATACTGGTCAGCCAACAGTGCCCATGTCCCACTAGTGAGTTAAAAAAACACCCAATAATGACAAATACAACCCTGTTGACCCTGAAAAGTGCTCCTAATGAATACTTGGGGATTGTACCAAAATTGGAAGAACTGTCCCGCATACTAGTCAACAACAGCCTGCCTTAGCCACATTCACAGAATTATAAATCGCAGGCCTTATCCCAGACATCATCAACACCATCCCTAGATGTCCCCTGTCCAACTGGGCAGGGCAGGACTACAAGAGGTGGTAACACAATGGTATAGAGTTGGCAAGGAATTGCCTGGGGGTTCTAAACACTAGCTCCAGACCCAATGAAATCTAATGTTATCAAGTCAAACATGGGCAAGTAAACCACCTGTTTACTTCTACCTTCGCCCTCCCCACACCCACTCTCCTTTTCCCTTTCTCAGCTTTTAAATCAGTACTCTTCTATATTGAACACTACCTGGAGGAAGCACTAAGGGTGGAAGGGGCTACCTGGTGGGGGTCTTCAATGTCCTTCACCAAGAATAGTTCAATTGTACCTCCACTGACTGAAATAGCTGAGTCTTTAAGACATCACTGCAGGACTGCGTCTGTGAGAAATGGCAAGCAAACCAACAAGAGGGGAAAATCTGCTTGACAATGTGGTTCACGAAACTACCTGCCACAAATGTGTCCATCCATGACAGCATCAGTAGAAGTGACAACTGCAGAGTCATTGTGGAGAGCAAATCCTGTCTTCACATTGGGGACACCCTCCATATTTTGTGTGACACTATCTTGAGTGAAAAATGGGACAGACTTCAAACATATCTAGTAACTCAAAATTGGGTCTCCATGAGGCACTGTGGGTTGTCAGCAGCAGCAATAGAATTATATTCAATCACAATCTGCAACCTCACGAACCAGGATATCCTTGACTCCACCATGATCTTCAAGCCAGCAGATGAACGCTGGTTCAATGAAAAGTGCAGGAGCATATGACAAGAACAGCACTGGGTAAAAATGAGGTGTCAATCTGATGAAGCTATGACACAGGATCTACTTATAAAGAAACTGCATACAATGGACAGGTCTAGGTGTTCCCATAACCAATGAATCAGATCTAACTTCTGCAGTTCTGGCACATCCAGTTGAGAATGGTGATGGGCAATTAAACAATAAACAGGAGGTTGATGCTTCACAAGCATCCACATCTTCAATGTGGGAAAGCTCAGCAAATCAGTACAAAAAACAAGGGTGGGGTATTTCTTCCACCTCCAGTCAAAGTGCCAAGTGGATAATCCATCTTGGCCTACTCTCAAGGTTCCCACTGTCACAGATGTCAGTCTTAAGATTCACTCCACGTGATATCAAGAGGCCGAATGCACTGGTAACTGCAAAGACTGTGGATTGTGAAATCATTCAAGCTATTGTCGAAAGATTTGTGCTCTAGAAATAGCCATAACCCTGTTCCAATACAGCTGCAACATTTGCATCTACCCAGCAATGTGGAAACCAGGCAAATCTTATGACAAAATGAGGGGCGAATCTAACCTGGTTAATTACCACCCTATCAGTATATTTTCGATTATCAGCAAAATGATAAAAGGACTCATCAACAGTGTTATCAAGTGGCTGCAAAGGAAGAGTGAAGTGAAAGTCGCAAATGGGATTCCTACACTTGTCAGGAGCATCTGATCTAAGAAGTGCTGAGAATTATTTGTTAAAACAAATGGACTGTTTATTGATGTGTGCATGCATATTAAGCGCTGGCTGGTCTCTGCCTCCAAATAATTATGTACCAACATTGCTCTGCTGTTTCTGGTCCCCCTCCTGACATTCACTCAAGGGGGAGATGCCAAGGGGGCTTAACTGATTCTTTTCAACTGTTATTCTTAGACTGTTGAGATAGTTATATGACTTCTGTTCAAGTTTGCTGGTATGAACCTTTAAAAATTTTTATGGCCTAAGCCTCTTTTCAGTTCTGACAACTCGAAAACTTGCCTTCCCTCTTTACTTGGATTTAATAGCAGCTACAAGCCACCCTAGGATGGGTGCACCCCACACTAAAGGTCATTTTTTGGTAGGTCACTTTTTTGTTTTAACTTTGAAGTTGGAGAGAAGCTGCTTCTATTTAAGTAGACATTCCCTTAACTTGCCTGCCAGAGCATCCTGATGTTTTCATGCTGAAATGCCTCCCATGGCCTACCCTCAGCTTCAAGACCCTATCAATCTTTCCTAATTGTATGGCCAGTCTACTCTCTGGCCATTAATTAGCCAAAATATAAAAATCACCACTGGAAATCGCCTTACACAGTTTGAGCTTTTGAGCCCCAATTCACTTGGCAGTGGACCAAAGGAAAATCTTACGCCATATCTCATTTATGAGCATATTTTTCAACTTCAGTTCATACATTTAGCCAAAAATGCAGCAAAATCTCTTTTTATCATTGGAATAGCGATGGAACTGTGAACAATATTAAAGGCAAGCTAAATGAAGATGCCTCCTCTGCCAGATAACCATGGTATGATATAAAATAATGAGTATAAAAATTCACGAACAATTCTTTAAATTTGTGTTGAAATCTTTCAAATTTAACTTCCAATGCTGCAATGTAAGTTAAGAACTATTGTAGCCACTGGCTTGTATTGAACATTTTAAAAATGTACCTAGCTTAATGCCTTTCAGCTCAAATGCTAAGAACATGCAATGTGCCTTATTGACTACCACCCAATGGCTCCAACCTCAATAATCATGAAATGCTTCGAGAGGCTGGTCATGGCCCACATCAACTCCAATCTCAGTCCAGGTGCATAACGGCCTGGTATGGCAACTGCTCTGCCCAGGGCCGTAAGAAACTACAGAAGCATAGCGCAGACCATCATGGAAGCCAACCTTCCATCCATGGACTTTATTTACACAACTCACTGCCACAGAAAGGCTGCCAACAAACATCATCAAAGACCCATTGCACCCAAGTAATGATCTGCTACAATCTCTTCCATCAGGCAGAAGATACAGAAGCCTGAACACACACACCAGCCAGTTCAGGAACAGCTTCTTCTCGGCTGTTATTAGACTGATGAATAGACTCTCTAGCCTCAAATAATGCTGATCTTACTAACGTTGATCTCGCCTAGTGCATGCGCTATGCACTGTAACCTTTATGCCTCTAAGTCCTTTTGATCTGTACATCCTTGCTTACTATGATCTGCCTGTACTGCTTGTAAACAAAGCTTTTCACTGTCCTTCGGTACACGTGACAATAAATCCATCAATCACATGCACAATTATACAAAGGCTCCACATTGCGTTGCTCAATGCATAGATTTACATTTCACGAAAAGTTATCACATCTGCAACATATTATAACTCTAACCTCTATCTGTAATCATATCATCAGTCATTCCAAATGTAGTGTGCAGAACATTTCTGAACTTGTTTCGATCCAGTCCGACTGCAATCCGCTGCTCAGGGAAAGTGGCAACAAGCGTACTGAAGACTTTCATTAAACACTGCACCTCATGTCTGTTGACTGCAATATATGGACAGAAAAAAATGCTTTTCAATTAAGATAAGAAATAGTACGTATTCATCTTATTAAAAGTACTACTGATCTTTAGCAGTAAGATTATTTAGATTTCTATGTAACTTAATTTACTAAACTGAGATTAAAAGGAAATTGCTACCTGCACCTCTTTTATTTCAAATACGTACCATTACCAGTACTTTTTGCTTCAGAATTATTGGTGAGGGATAGCCTAAAAGCAGATCTTATTGTGAAGTCTCTCTCATAAAATTTCACAAGTTCACCTTCACTGATATTACAAATGGAAGTGCACCTCATAGTCGTCCATCTCCAGTGAAAATGTCAATGGAAAGATTTTATGATGTTACACATAGAAAGTTTGTGTCAGCTATGTGATGAAGAATATTTAAGTTATTATCATTTGGGAACATGGAATTTTAAAACTGAGGCAGATGTGTGGTTTCAGTTCTGTGGAGCTAACAGATTTTTTAAGAAGTCACAAAGTCTTTTAGAATAAAGAACTAATGACACCTTCCAAGAAGGCATGTGATACAATCAAGTGACATCTGTGGTATCAGTTAATGAACCACTTAAACAGCTGAATTTACAGCAGACAGGAAAAAAGTTGATCAGAGGCTATTAGATTAGTTTCAACTTCAGTTCAGAAGAATCAAGTTTTCAGTTTAGAAGGTAATTTCACCCTAGTAGTTTTAGTTTGTAAATCCTCCATGCTGTGACAGTTTGTATGCAAGTTTTCAAGTCGTCAGAATTGAGAAGAGGTTTAGGTCATCAGAATTTTAAAAGGTTCATACCAGCAGACATGGACATCAGCAGTCTAAGAAGAACAATTGAAAACAGTTAAGTAAGAAATCAACGAGTTGAGATAAACGACATTTCTCTGGATTGAATATTTGATATTGCTGGAGAATGCACTGAAACTTTGTTTTGCTATTTACATACACCGTGTTTTTTCATTAGAGTAGTAAACTTGTTCTTTTGTTAAAGAACCTTTGCAGCCTTGTGTGAACATGTTCAGTTGTCAACCACGATAGCAACAACTGCACAAAAATACTTATGATCCATCAAACTAGGTTTCATTTTGAAATCTGACTTGTCCAGTTTTACCATTAACTAGGATGAGAACAAAGTAGGGCCTCTTCCGGCATAAGTTTTATTGAATCTATGAGAAATTTGTGTTTAAAAAACAGGTATGTGGAGGTAGTAGACATTTTAAAAAGCATTGAGTACAGTTTATTGTGATGATTAGCTTTAAAATGGCTTTGAATGTTGCTAAGGATTTTCTGTGAGTAGAAGACCTAACAGTGGATTATTTGAAATCTTTGACTGAAGCTAAACTGAAGGAGTTAGCAGATATAATGAAGGTAGAAATAAAAGCAGGATCTCATAAGAATGACACATTTAAAATGATTACTCAAATTCTGGAATAAAAAGGAGAAAAACCTGAACATATAACAGAACAGCACAGGAACAGGCCTTATGACCCACCACGTCTATGCCAACCAGGATGCCATTTTAAACTAATCCCATATGCATGCACAGGGTCCGTATCAATATATTCCCTGCCTATTCATAAGTCTAAATGCCTCTTAAACTATCGTCTTTGCTTCTACCACCTTGCCTGGCAGCTACCACCCTCTTTGTAGAAAAACTTTCCTCACACATCTCCTTTACACTTTTCCACTCTCACCTTAAATGTATGTTTCTAGTATTCCAACCTGGGAAAAAGACTCCAACTATGCACTTTATCAGTGCCTCTCATAATTTTATACACTTCTATCAGGTCGAAGCTCTAGTAATAATAAAACAAGATTGTTCAACCTCCCCTTATAGCTACAAAATCAGAAATTGCTGGAAAAACTCAGCAGGTCTGGCAGCATTTGTGAACAGAAACCATTGTTAACATTTCAGGTCCAGTGACCTTTCTTTAGAGCTGATTGTAGCTAGGAAAAGGTGGGTATATATGCGAGGGAAGGGATGGTGGAGGGGCAAAGACTAAACGATAGGAGATGGCTACAGTGCTCCAGCAAAGCTCAGCTCAACCTGAAAGAGCAACATTCATTTTCCACTTGGGAACCCTGCAACCTTCTGGAATTGATATCAAGTTCAATAATTTTAGAGCCTGAGCACCCACACACAACAGGCCTTGTCATCTCATGGGCTGCTACCACAAACAACTCATTGTCAGCTACTGTGGTCCCCATTGCTATTCATTCGTCCAGGCTGACATTTACCCATTCCTCTGTCTGCCCAATTGTTTTTCTCTCTCCAAGCTCCACATGCACCTATCGTTTATTCTTTCCCCCTCTCCCACCCCTTCCCCAGTAATAGGTACCAACCTTTTCCTAGCTACAATCAGATCTAATGAAGGGTCACTGAAGCCAAATGTTAATCTGATTTCTCTCCACAGATGCTGAGTTTTTCCAGCAAGTTCTGATTTTGTTTCGAATTTCCAGCATTCACATTCTTTGGATTTTATTTTCTCTCCTTATGGCTAATAGATTCCAATCCAAACAACATCCTGGCAAAACTTCATTTGCACCCTCTCCAAAGCCTCCACATTTGTCCTATAATGTGACCAGAACTGCACACGATACTCCAAAATTGAGATGTCACCTCTAGAAATGGCTGAGATTCCGTTAGAAATTTAAAAACTTCAGTTTGAGGAAAAAGACGAGAAACAGCAATGGAAAGAGAAAACAATGAAAAGAAAGGAGTGATGGATATTGAACTTTAAATAAAAAGCTTGAACTTCAGAGAGGGACTGAAATTAAACAGCATGACTTGAAGAGATTGAAAGCTTAGAATAAACGAAGAAAGAGGAAATAGTAGCTCAGAGGGTGATTCTGATTTCAATGAGTAGTTTGATTTAGCTAAAATTCAACATATAGTGCTTAAATATTCAGAGGACAGAGTCAAAAAATAGTTCATGTCATTGGAAAAGGCAGCTGGGAAGATGAGGTGTCTTTAATGTTAGAGATAGTAGGAACTGCAGATGCTGGAGAATCCGAGACAACAAGGTGCAGGGCTGGATGAACACAGCAGGCCAAGCAGCATCATAGGAGCAGAGAGGCTGACGTTTCGGGCCTAGACCCTTCATCAGACTGTTTTAACATGTACAGCTGGAATGTGTATACCAATTTGTCAGAAGAACAATCTGCAGACTACGTAACCTCTAAAAAATAAATTCTCAATGCTTATGAACTTGTGCCTGAACTTTATCAACTGAAGACTATAAGAAAAAAAACAGATGTTTGTGGAATTTGCAAGCATTTGCAAGAGAAACTAAGTGGTGTGAGATCAGTGGTTTTTCTCCCTTCTTAATAGATTCTAAAGGCGGATACTACCTTTGCATTACAGTTGCAGTTTTAACACCCATTTCCTTTTCCAATGCATCCTTTTCCCAGGAGTCCATTAGCATTCCTACCACTGCAATTGGTCTGATATTTAACTGGGTTTAATACGTATGGTCTCATTATCAATAAAATTTTCTTGATAACAATTTTAGGTTCTAGCCTTTCACTTTTATTATTTTATCATCCTTCTGTTGCTTCCTAAAACTAATCTTTTCCCTCTGCAGATTTTATATTCCTCCAATACCCTTGTGGATTTCCAGTGTGACCTTTTCCTGACATGTAACTTTCTGTTTGAAATATCTTGGGTATTTTCCAGAATTGCTTCCCTCAGATCTTTATACTTGCTCATCTAAATAACTTTTAATGTTTACAAGAAAACTATTTTGAAATTCTTCCATAATAATGATTTCTCTCACATTTCCCAGCACTTTTTTCTCTCAGTTAAGTGATCAAAACCACTGATCTCAGCTCCAGGAATTCTCTGCAGGAGTTCCTCAGAGTAGTGTCCTCAGCCCAAACATCTTCAGCTGCTTCATCAGTGGCCATCCCTCAATCATAAGGTCAGAAGTGGGGATGTTCGCCAATGTTTGCACAATGTTCAGCACCATTCGTGACTCCTCAGATACTGAAGCAGTCCGTGTTCAAATGCAACAAAATCTGGACAATATCTAGGCTTGGGCTGACAAGTGGTAAGTGACATTTGGGCCACATAAATGCCAGGTTATGACCATCAGCAATAAGAGACAATCTAACCACCACCCCTTGACATTCAATGGTGTTACCATCACTGAAACCCCCACTAAGGACATCCTTGGGGTTATCATTGACCGGAAACTCAACAGGACTCACCACATAAACACAGTGGCTAAAAGAGCAGGCCAGAAGCTAGGAATAATGTGGCAAGTAACTCACCTCCTGACTACTCAAAGCCTGTCCACTATCTACAAGGCACAAGTCAGGAGTGTGATGGAATACTCCCCATTTGCCTGGATGAGTGCAGCCCCAACAACACTCAAGAATCTTGACACCATACAGGACAAAGCAGCCCACTTGACTGGCATTATATCCACACGCATGCACTCCCTCCACCACCGATGCTCAGTAGCACCAGTGTGTACTATCTACAAGATGCACTGCATAAATTCACCAAAGATCCTCAGACAACACCTTCCAAACCCATGACCACTTCCATCTAGAAGGGCAAGGGCATCAGACATATGGGAACACCATCAACTCCATTTCCCCTCCAAGCCACTCACCATCCTGACTTGGAAATATCTCGCCATTCCTTCACTGTCACTGGGTCAAAATCCTGGAATTCCCTCCCTAATTGCATTGTGGGTCAACCCACAGCAGGTGGACTGCAGCAGTTCAAGGTACCAGCTCACCACCACCTTCTCAATGGCAACTAGGGATGGGCAAGAAATGCTGGCCAGACAGCGACACCCACATTCCATAAATGAATAGAAAAAACCTGATAAACGGAATCAAGGGGAGAGGATTACTTAACTAAATTGAAGAGAAATTTATAAATCAAAGCTCAGAAACTACACTTCTAAGTTTCAAGTTTCAGTAAGAAACTAATTAAAGCATGTGCGTTGGCCAAAAAGCACTTGACAAGTGCTCAAAGAA